CTGATAATGTCTCTGTCTCTCGGTCTCTCTTTCTTTCTCTCTCCCTCTTTCTCCCTGTCTCTCCGTCTCCTCTGTCTCCCTGTGTCTCTGTCTCCCCGTCTCTCTATTTTTGCCTCCCTGTCTCTCTATTTGTGTCTCTGTCTCTCAGTTTCCCCGTCTCTCTGTCTCTCACTGTCTTTCTGTCCCCGCAACATTTCTAATAAAACATAGCTGCGAATAAGATGCCTTCTTTTTTAGTTTCTTTTTGAAAGGTACGCTCAAAAGTATTGTCACGCGTTACGGTGTATGTCCGCACAGGTGGTGCAGAAATCCATAAAGAAATTCCGGTTACAACAGCATTAATAACCTTACTCCTAGCAGAAAAACCAGGTGAATAGAGATATAGATACTTTGATATTTCGACAACATGGCTTCATCTCAACGAACGGCAGAAGCAAATTTAAATTCAACTCCGCTTATTTAATTCTGCTAACTTAAAGTTACTTCTGCTTATCGTTTCGATAAAAACTTGTTGCCGAAATATATATGCATCTATATTTCCCTTCTCCTGTTTTCTTCTACGAGGAATAAGGCTGTCTATCTGTCTTATATCCGTCTACTGTCTTATCTGTGCACAATTTTCCTCGCAAACGCGATTAATAGCTTTAAAAATTCCGGGTTACCAGATCTAGATGCTTTCTGCACATCTGGCAACAATTTCAATTTTTTTCCGCCCGGTCGGTCCACCCTGTTTTTCGGGCTGGAAAACTTCGTGGGGCCCAGGCTTGGCGCACACTTCTTGCAATGACGGAGGTAATGTATGACCCACAGCGTATATGTTGCGGCGAAAAACGATGATCTTGATAGCTTATTGTGTCATTATGCGAAGCGTGAAGGCATTTTGAATGAGCTCGCTCGAAAAATAAATGTAAAGTTTGGGCTGAATCACTTCTTCTAATCTGGTCATTGCTTGCTACAGACTGTCAAAAGGCAAGCGAACCAAGCGATTGCGTACAAAAATAAACTGTACAAAACTTGTAAAGTACTCGAATGCTCTCAACGTTGGGAGAAACCACTCAGTATACAACGTGGTTACAATATTTGTCATTGAATCGTGTCTTTTATGAGATCGGATGTCAGTACATGGATGAGCATAACCAGTTTTTTTTTTACTTTACTTGCCTTAAAACAGCATCAGTGTTAAACTTGTTTACCAAATCACGTATAGCGTATTTGGTCTAGAAAGCAGCCTCCTAAAAAGGGCTTGGATAATCCCTGATGCAACACTTCGTCAGTTACCAGGCTTCACAACACCTCCTGCTGTGGAACAGCGCCATCATGAGACGACTGAAATATCGACTCAAACCAGGAGATCAAAGGTGATCGTGGCATGTAATTCAGGCATGGTGCCGCAGCGGAATTCAGTGTCCGCCATAAACATTTTGTTCTTTCCTCCAGGATCTCCTGGAGACGCTCCATATGGGGGATTCAAAGTTGCCCGCCATTATTGATCCTTTCACGCATACCTACCACGGCTGCATAAATCGCAGCTGTCTTACTTTGGTGTACATTAGTGCCACCGTGCATTTTTGCGACGTAGAGCCAAAACTAATCGTGCCGAATTTACTTACAGTTTGTCAAATTTGTTTTCATTTCCTACAAAGACTGCGCATCACGCTATCAGGCTGCTACAAAGTTCAACCGCGTCGAAGTACCTTGCAGTTGCGCCAAAGCCGTGCCACTTCTGCAATCCCGCCGAATTCGGGAGCGCTGCACCGAAATTGGACGCCGCCGCGCTCAACACCACTGTTGCCTTACAACTGGCTGTGCGAAAATAAAAATGAAACCGTTACGCATAAATGGATGTTACCACTCCGAGCAAGCTGGCCACGCCGAGTAACGCTAACGGGCCGTGCCGTGGGGGCCTGGCAGCGACCATCAGCGAGCGGAGGGACGGAAGCCAGTTCTACCAGCGACCTGGTTTTGCCATTTTGTTCGGTAAACCGACTTCCCGACTTTATAAATGGAACGCCAGAGCAGATCAAGCGGGGAACCCTTCCGAAATGACAGTTGCAGCGGCTCTCGCGATGGCCCTTCTCAATGATCCCGAGCCCGCGCGCAATCCCCCCAGTTTCCCGGACGCCGTCTCACACGCACGTGACAACTGCCCAGCCCGGTCCGCGCCTGTCCACGCCGCCGGTTATCAGAACGTACGTGCGGGACCGCGCGGCACGTAGCCACCATCAACCACCTCAGCCGCGAGCCGGGAATGGCGAGGAGCCGTGCGCTCGGGGCCGTAACGGACCGTGCCGCCCGTCATCCAGCCGTCCGGAGCCGGCAGGCGGCTGACGGGGGCCGCCGCTCCGGCGCGGCAGCGGACCGTGCCGCTCGTCATCCAGCCGTCCGGAGCCGGCAGGCAGCTGACGGGGGCCGCCGCTCCGGCGCGGCAGCGGACCGTGCCGCCCGTCATCCAGCCGTCCGGAGCCGGCAGGCGGCTGACGGGGGCCGCCACTCCGGCGCGGCAGCGGGCCGTGCCGCCCGTCATCCACCCGTCCGGAGCCGGCAGGCGGCTGACGGGGGCCGCCGCTCCGGCGCAGCGCCGGGCACGGTATGGACACAGTGCCGGCGTCCGACAACCCGCGCCGGGGAGCATTGGCTTCGAGATCGGGTCGGGAGTGATTCTGTGCACTATGAAGGGGCGTATCGCCTTAACAGAAATTATTTTTCGATTTCAGTCGTAGTGAGTTTGCGCGCCTTGCATTTGGCCATCAGCCCTTGCCTTGCCTTGCCTTGCCTTGCCTTGCCTTTGCCTTGCCATGCCATGCCTTGCCTTGCCTTGCCTTGCCTTGCCTTGCCTTGCCTGCCTTGCCTTGCCTTGCCTTGCCTTGCCTTGCCTTGCCTTGCCTTGCCTTGCCTTGTCTCGCCTTGCCCTATGGCTTGCGCAAGCGTAAGGTGCGCGGTAACGGCGCTGCTGGGGGCCGTCCGTCGCCACTAACAAGGGTAGCACCCTGGCCGGATGTGGCGGCCCATCGGCCACGAACATCTGACAAAATGTACATGTGTATCAACCGACAAAAACTGGAAGTGGTAAAAGCTAGGCTCAGTAGTCTGAAATTTTATCCCTGGTCAACCGGCCACTTGCGCAAAGGGTTTGAAAATGCCGGGAAAGTTGAGTCGGGCCGACCGCACGCGGATGAGGATCTAATGGATCTTAGCGGGATCTGACTTCACGTCTTTATGTATGCGTGGGTGCAAACGGACTTAAAAATCGCCTTGGACGTTGACTGATTCTACGCTGGATTCAAGCTTTCTTCTACATTTCCATATTTGTGCTCAAAAGCTAAGGCTGGTCACGGCTGGGTCGTTTTCGCTTCGGACTGGTTTTGGAACAGCTTGAGGCGACAGAAAACAGCAATTCACCGCGATGAATAGTGGCCTGCAGCCGTATGACCTCAAGTAACATACACAAGCACGCCCAAGGCCAGTTTTCAGCATGTTTATTCCACGCAATACATCAAACTGCGCCGATAAAGGGAACACGACGTACCCCAAGCTTGGAGTGACCCGAGCAAAATAAAAAAGATTGGCGAAAATAAAACAGAGACAACATTACACTACTTGTTAAATGCTGTTTACGCGGGGAATTCGTACGGTTGTGTTATGCGCTAACAGCTCCAGTCCACGTTTTCACCCTGCGCCGAAACTCCGTCCACAAATTTCAAGGCCGTTACAGCTGCCAACGCCATCTTCTCAGCCCGGGGTTCTCTTACCGAGACGCATTAGGAGTTACACATACCCCGGTGCTGGGGGAGAACCCAGCGCCCAGAGCTGGAGCACGACGGGAACAGCTGCCGTGAGTTCAGCGCCGGGCTGACAAGCACATGCACCGACGCTTGCGCAAATGCGGCCCGATCTCATTACTAACGGGCTAACGAGCACGACGGAGGGACCGCGTGCCAAGCATGACCAGGGACGCGCGCGACGAGAACACTGCAGTCTCTGCCCTGCCGCTGAGCACGGCAGCACCACAGCCTCTGCCAGGGCTCCACGGCGCAACAGGCTGCCGGACGCCCATTTTTCAGCGGTCTGGACGTGGCGGCACGTGACTCGATCGATCACACGGCACCCGGTCTTACCGAGCCGTCACCACCAGGGGGGGGGGGGGGGGGGGGAGGTAGCGGGGAGGTCGGCGGATCAGGCGACAGGCCCCCGTGACATGTCGTAGGCCGCGAGCATTCCGCTGCAATGCGTGGCTTTATCAACCCTTAGCCATGCCACCGGGGTAGTAACGTCAGTGGTAGACAGACCAGCGAAGTGACCTGTACAATGTTTCACAAAAGACATGCTTTCAACGGAATGCAATGCCGGGGAAAGATTTGACTATGCTCAACGCAATATATCAAAGCCACCTTACATCGCGTATGCATGAAAATAGGTTGGGCGTCAGGCAGTGCGACTTTTGATGTTGTTCATACTGAAGTGTCTGTAAGCCCAACGCCAAGTAAATGTTCAGAGCAAACGCGCTCATGAAAAAGCGCAAAAAGTGAACACGTAAGTAATGACATAAATACTTGCTAAATTTCAAGAATATTTCGAATTGGCCACTGTTTTAACCACGCGTTACGCTGTTATGCACGGTAAGTCCCGGGGAAGCGCCCGCTATTCACCTTCGAATCAAACATGACCCATTTTGACGAACCCCTCCCCCCCTCTCCCCGATGCTGGTCTGAAACAACAGCGGCCACGCAATTCTATTCGAGAAATCCCGTAAGTACCGTGAGCTGTGAACGCAATTCGCTGATATGGCTTGAACTATAATACTCGTAGGGCGAAGGTACAAAAACTCTCGTGAGACAAGAGTGAATGCAGGAAGAAACGAGCGAAACCCCGTATGGTCTTACTGAGCGCTAACGCAACTGAAAGGGCATCCGAGACCACGTTGGTTTCCCAGATTACCCACAGGGGCGGCCAAGTTTAGTCAGCACTTTGCCACCCAGGAGTCTCACCCAACACCGACTGACCTTTCAGCGAATGCTTGAAGCCCGAGGAAGCGTGCACCAGCAAGAATTTGCTCTTGCTCTCCAGCAGCTGTTTGTTATCCGTCTTGAAGGCCGTTTGCCACATGTACTCGGCGAATTGGTCCTTGACAAAGCCAGGACTGGCCACCAGCACACACTTGACCACGTCCAGCCGAGCATGTCGCAGCAGCGCCTGCATCACCGTCTCGAAGAACTTCTGCAGCCCCTGAGGAAGAGCCCAGTACGGACTATGGTCACGGTTGGTAGGCCTCGCCACAGCTGCCGGCTGCCCTTCTGTTCCCATTCAAGAACGTCTTACGGTGACATAGATGGAGAGCAAGAAACCAATTGCGACAGCGGTGGAGAACGTCACACGGTGACATCCTGGGATCCCAAGACAACGTCTTAGGATCCCGAACAATACCGCACTAAGATGACGTATTTCGACACGATGCTAAAGCAATTCTGGCAGTGACGCAGTTTCACACATTTCCGAAAAGATTTTTTTCCGCGATCATTTCCGATAAGATTTTCACCAGCACTTCGGAAACCGGCGGCTTCCATGCAGGTTGCGGCTCACCCATTGATGACAGATAACGTGGTGCAAATGTGGCTGTGTGGCTGGGAAACTAGCGGGGTTTAGGTCTTAAAAAGGGCCGGGCTGGAAACTGCACCGAATGATTTTCGAGACGGTTGTTTCAGTACAAAACCCCATGCAAATGTGGAACATTGCCTTAAGAACAGACCAGAAGCTGTCAAGTGGCCGCAGCTGGACGCCAGGAATTTTGGGCCTTACGTGGTTGCGCTCCAGAGCATCTCGGACGGGACCCCTGTTCGTCTGGTAATGCATTCCTTGTCGTGCATATGCTCATTCCTAGAACTCTCGTGAGCGACCAGCGGCTGGCTCACAACGCGCATACTGATTGTAGCCCACACCATGACTTTGTCGGAAAACTTTTCCTCGGTCGTATCTCTGGCCACAGTGTCACCATTTTCCTCGCCGTCCTAAATTGACGCGGTCTCGGCTGGCTGGTGATGTGTCGCCTTTAAGGGGAAAATGTGACTCATCATTCACTATCACCCGAGCGGCAGACAAAGGTTTCAACAGACCCTTCGTCCGCTTGGCGCAGTTTCTGGCGAGCTTCCTAATTTGTGATATCGCTGTGGAGGTGGTTTATCTGTGTCGGTATTCCAGCGGCGTCTTTTCGCGGATAAGTTTGGAGGCCTTCTGACGACAACCGCACGCCCCAGCCGCGATTGCGTGGCCCCTATTTCTCCGCCCAAGTCTTGCAACAGTACAGGGATTCTCTTAGGGGTCGTTTTTACGGTTGCTTATGACTTCCAACTTAACTTTTCATTACAATCCGAAGACTGCACCCAGATGAAATACTGTATATGACTACCGACAGCTGTTCTCTTAAACGTTTCGATGTACTCTTTTTCACGCCGCCAGCTGATACCTGGTCCCATTGATTTCAGCTAACGGCGGCATTTTGAGGCCAATTGACTTTCAGATATCGTTCAGAACTAACAGCGCTACCCACTGGCACAACAAGCCCAAGTTATGCTCTCTAGTACAGATGCCTATCAACATGTCAGCTTCTTCCGGATCCCTGCAAGCAAAGCGTTACCGGACGCTCAGGCCGTTCGGACCAGTACTGAGCTTCCCTGACCGGTTTGTGAACGCGCCAATCTATTGTAAAACCGGCTAGTGATTTATTGCTTTACACCGACGCATGTCGACCCATGCACTGCCGCCTTTGGCGACTGCCCATCGTTCAGAAGCGATGTGCGGCCACGTCGGCGCGTGCGCCTGCCCGTCTGACAGCCTGACCGGTGTTGACATAGCATTTCGGCGCCCCTCATTTGCGGTGGCCACCACGGCCATCAGTCTCAATGCGCACGTTCACGGCGTGGAGGCATGACTGCAGCTGATTCAGCACGCGCACCGTGTCGTAATGGGCTCGCAGTGGCCGCGGAGGCCTTCAGTACCAAAGGTGTCTGCCGTATCCGGCAACGGTACTCGACAAAAGCTGCCTCACGATACTTTCTTGCAAATAGCCCATTCATCAAGGTTTTCACTCTACATTGAAAAGAAGCCATCTTGTTTTTTAACCTGGGCAGTCAGGTAAACGATAGTTTATGTCACGCAACCAGCATGATACTGCTGTGTAACTAGAGGAAATAACTGAAATTCCAATAAATCAGGAAAGAATAGGAGCCAAAATATTATGTTTCGCCTTCTCATTACTCAACTCACAAGCGCAAACAAACTCATCTCACACGGAATTGTCCTGTAACTCTGGCCATAAAAATTACAATGAAATAATTGTCACGTGACTTCTTTCTAGCAAAACGTTCTTTCTTCCTACAACAAAAAAGGCAGCAGGTACCCCAAAAACGCCGTGCAATAAATGGGTATACAACTCGTAATCATTAAAGGCATGCAGTGCTGAGTATGGTATGCCGGCGGATTACTTCACCGAAACAAATGCTCCTAGGTGCGGAAAATAAATATCTGAGAGCATAATATGCATACTAGGATGCAAAGTAAGGCCTTAAAGCAAATTATAGCCCCCAGTCCTAGTCCTAACGTCAGTCACAGTCCCAGTCCCAGTCCCAGTCCCAGTCCCAGTCCCGGTCCCAGTCCCAGTCCCAGCTCCGGCCCTAGCTCCAGCTCCAGTTCCAACCCCTAGGTTTAGGCCTAGGCCTAGGTCCCCTAGGACCCTCAGGCCTAGGTCCAGACCCGCAAGCCAACGGCTAAGCAAGCTTGTTGACGGCCGGACGGCAGAGGAAGCGGCACCGCCACAAGGGCGACGCCCAGTAACGACATTTCACATAGCACGACCGCAGCGGGGGACAAAACAAAACCTGTTCTACGCGAAAGGTCACACGCTCATTCAAGGTCAGTGACCTTTTTGACCTATCCAAGGTCATGGTGACAAAAATCATAGAATACCGCTTTGAGTTTTGCATTTGGACACGCGACAAACATTAAGTTAGGCAATATGCTCACAAAAAATGAATGCTGAACTGTGTCATTTTAGGTCAGTGATCTATTATGACCCATAAGAAGTCCATGGAATATGTCTAATGCGGTTCATGTTATCAATAAATCCGAAATGAGCACCAGGAACTACCCCAAACAGGAAGCCCTAGAGTAATAAAACAGACTAGCTTTGACCCTGGTCTGACCTTCATATCTGACCCTAGGTCAATGACATTTGATCATTCAATTGCTGTTTTGCCTAAGAAAGTATCTCTAGAGATGAGATGTATGGCCTCGCCTAACATTCCGTTGTTCCGTCAGATTGAACGATTCCCTTGAAATTGACTACGCTGAATCCCTCACCCGATTTTGACCTGCCGCAGGTCAGCGATCTCACAAGGTAAATCCAATTTTTGATAGCATACGATCCGCTGTTCAATTCTCTACAGCTCTGCACAATTTGGTGCGGCTGCGCCGCGTCGTTCGGAAACTATTCCGGAAAAACCCTCGGGGGGGGGGGGGAGGTCAAGCCGACACCCCAACCGAACGGGTGTTAAACGATTGGATTCATCAGTGTCCGGTCGCATCCAGTAACCTGCTTGTCAAAGCGCCTGATCCCAAAGTTTGCTGGAAGCACCCGGCCTCATCGATGAAAACAACGTTTTTTGCCACAAACGTATGTGGATGGCACTGCGAACACAATAGCGCTACAGCAGATCGGAAACACAACAAGCCCGGCGTCATTATCGCAAGGCCTTGCCGGGGGCCATGTCCAAGCGGTGCATTTGTTTCCATGTCAACCCCAGCTGACCCAGATCAATGACAATTCCAAGGCGGGCAGATGCAGTATGCCTCGTCTGAAATTTGCTGGGGCTTCATCCGAACACAGTTTTTTCAATATGTTGTCATTTCTTCGAAGAGCTTTTACAGCACATGCCGAAAACAAGGACACAAGGAAAGTTATGCGCTTGTGTGAGGGGAAAAGGGAACCGGTGGATCTGCTAGTGACAGTCTTCGACGGGGACTCCGTGGGTCGTGAGGAAGCCATCGGATGTCCTCTTTCGAACGTGGCTGCCCGCAAAACGTGGGCGCCTCGTCGTGGGCATGACTAACTTTCGGTACATTCTCACCTTTTGACAAGCAATTTGTCTGAAAAATGACATTCTGAAAATTTCAAAAGTCCAAACTAAAGCACCGATGTATGTGCGATTTAAAACCACCTAAACGCTCTTTTCAAAATCAATAACCAGGTTGGAGTATGAAAGCAAACCACCTGTAGTCGTAATTTTGCCGATCTCATGCCCAAAAAAAAGGTAACTATACTCCCTAAATTCACTGCGATCGCTCCGTTTAAACTCGTTTCTGAACACAGAATCACCTGAGGACATCTTTCGAAGTAATCAGACTTTCCACCTGACTGCAACCTTTTTCACAACAAACAAAACGTCAGATTTTCCCAATATATCTCCCCGAACGCCATCTTAGCCCCCTCCCTAAACACCCCTTTGATACCTTCCTTAAACGTACTACTTTCTGCAGTAGGGGTTTGTATTTTGTTTAGGATGTTTGCACGGCTAAGAAATGCGTAACCTGATTGCATTCGAACCGCTCAAAACGACACTAGGGGCTGCAGAGGTAAACCCTGCTATTTCTTGGAGGTCCTGCAAACGTACAGGAGTGACAGACATTGGGATATGAGTAGGTCCTTTTCTGAAATATGAACATAAATAGCTTTCTCAAATTATTCGCACAGGTTTGTGATTGGTGATTTGCTTCATCAGCAGTTAAGATAGAGGACAAGTGCTATCACCAATGTGATGAGCTAACGCAATAAATGCTACCGTCGATTGTCGAAACCGCAGGAGGTAAAGCTCGACGCCCACGGTACAGTGATGTCATCTAGCGTCAAGAACGGCAAGTTTAGCATTTGGCTAGCGCCGCGCAGTCTGGAGCGCTGGATGGTCCAGACTACTAGGGGAGAGGAGTGATGGCGCTGGATGGTCCAGACCAGGGGAAGAGGAGTGGTCGCGCTGGATGGTCCAGACCAAAGGGGAGAGGAGTGATCGACAACTGAGGCAAGCAGCGCTGGGTTTGGACCGGCAAACAGCACAAAGAAGATACCTGTTTCCCAACATCCTCGTCCAGGGCATTTGGCCGGGGATATTAAAAATGACGCAGCAGTCCGGACATCATAGCCTTGTAGAAGTTACGTGACTTGTAACTCTTTAGGAGCTGTTTGCCGAAGACTACTAAGACTACTAATGTATCGGCGGTCGTACCTAGATCCTCGCTTCAAAAGTCCTTGCAACGCCTATTCCCGCTGTGAGAATGCTGCAGCCGTCGGCCATGTGCCGTGATAACGTTGGGCCACATACATACAGCTTTGTGCACGCGACTTATCGCAGTTCGTCCAAATACAGTCTACTTGCTTCCTTAGGCAGTACTCAACATGCTTTCATCAGTTTCACCTCTATCTTTAACGTGTCAGAGTGGACATTATATTGACTACGGTATTCAAAACGTTATGTCCGCGTGAATGGAACTTGAAAATGATTGTATGCATACGCACACACCCACACACACTCACACCCACACCCACACACACGTACATGCATGTACACGTGCATGCACGCGGACATACATACATACCTGCATAAGTATTAACGTACATGCATACATGGATGCATACAAACATATATGCATAGCTATAAGCATGATTATCGGAATAACCTCTGATAGAACAACTTTGCCCTAAAATAACAGCCTAATCCGCCTTCAAGACTACCACCAGCACCCCGCAGCCGCGTAAAATGGCCTGCCATCTATTGGTGACTGCAGACCTCACGGCCAACTGGCGGCCGCGCCTTCAACTACTGACGTTTGAATGCGATCCATTCGGGGGATGCCAGCGTCTAACCGGTTCGCCGTTACAAGCATCTCTCCACCCACCCTTCGGTCATTGAAGACGGGCAAGTTCGAAACGTTTCTAGGTTCTCCAACTTTGCCTTACATTCGCGTCTCGTCTCATCTCGCTCCACCGGCTAAACCAATGATGCAATGCTAGTGCCACGCTATAGCTCTGAAATGGCCAATGGCGGCCAAAAAGGCTCACACCTGCCCTGATCTCAGATACCTATACACCCTGAGCAGTCACCACAGACCTTGTCCAATGCTACCAGATTCCCCAGTCAGCATGTCTACTACTGCCATCACTGCCTCATAGCCACAATAATCATCGGCACCTTCGTGACAGTGACGACAGCATCAGAGGTACAAGATGCGACGCCGTAAAGGTAAGCGAACAGCTCCATTAGTCGGCCTTCAGCGGTCACCATGGTCGGGAACCCGCAGCCATCGCCCGCGATACACTCGCCCGTGCTGCTGGTGCGACACCCGCACCCGACAACCGTTCGACATGTTATCGGGAATCCGCGGCCATCAGCTGTCCGGGACACGCTCGCCCGTGCAGCTGATGCGACACTCACACCCGTGCAGCTGATGCGACACTCACACCCGACAACCGCTCGACATGCTGAGATGCGTGCACGTCCAGAAGACATCGGTGGCACGTATATCCAACGCGAAGACAGCTGCAGCGCATGAACGCCCGTCCAGCGAGCAGCACCCACATCACACTAAGCGAGGGCAGTGATCTGCGGTCAGCGGACGCTCAGTGACCCCCAGCCCCGCGGAAAGTCGGGTGACCCCCGCCCCGCGGAAAGTCGGCGACGGCTGCACATGGCCGCCGATCTCCCCCCGGCCCGGCCCTGACGTCCGCTCCTGACACCGGCGCGCGTCTGACGCGTGCCAGGTCGGCGCCGGCCGCGGTCAGCCGCTCACCTTATCGTGCTGGGACGTGTGGCCCTTGCGTTTCCTGGGGATGGGCTGGTCGATCTTGGCGCGGACCAGTGTCATGCAGGAGGTGACCAGGCAGACGTGCGCGATCCCCTCCTGCATCACCACCGCCGCCAAGTCCGCGTGCTGCACGGAAACAAGGACACGGCTCACACGGGGACACAGGCGCACGGCTCGCACAGGGGCACCGGCGCACGGCTGACACGGGGGCACCGGCGTACGGCTGACACAGAGGCACGGCTCACACAGGGGCACCAGCGCACGGCTCGCACAGGGGACACCGGCACACGGCTGACACAGAGGCACGGCTCACACAGGGGCACCGGCGCACGGCTTGCACAGGGGACACCGGCACACGGCTGACACAGAGGCACGGCTCACACGGGGGCAATGGCACGAGGCTCACACGGGGGCACCGGCACACGGCTGATACAAAGGCACATGCACAATGCTCACACAGGGGCACCGCTCACAGGGGCACGGCTCACACGGGGACACCGGCGCGCGGCTCACACAGGGGCGCGGCTCACATCGGCGCACGGCTCACACACAGGCGCGTGAAGGTGGCGTCGTGACGCAGCTGATCAAGCACCATGACATGCTGCCTCACACAGCCACGTTACACGTCGGTCGCTTACACATGGTGGCACTGGTGGCTGTCGTGACTCAATCGCACACTTTAAGGCCGAGCACAACCGATTTCAGTTACAAGAATGCGACGCACGTGACCCGACTACAACGCGGCTGCACAATTCAAATGACCTGATAGATTACCTGGGTGGGGTCACACGCCATCTCCACACGTTCGATGGAGACGGTGTCCCAGTAGGTCTTGTATAGCATAAACTTCCTGTTAGCCTCGATATCGATGGTGTGGTAGGCTCCCATCTGTGGAGGAGTTTTGTGTACCACTCAACACAACTGAATAGACAGCACCCAAAGTGGTGTTTTGCCAATGATCAAACCTTTGAAACAATCGGAGGTATCTCTGATTGGGTGACAATCTAGCCATACCAGCTGAATGCGGTAACTCTTCAATCTACCGACTGATCGACCACCCAATCGAATTGCTTGCAAATCACGCAATACGTCTGTTTTGCTTCAATGCGGTACGTGACAACAGATAAGCTAGGCGCACGAGACGAGATGTGTCTAGACAACTAAATGAATGTCCTCGATAATGGCTAAAATGCAAGGGACACAATGCAGCGGGAAGTGTACTCCGTCATGCTGAAATGTGTCTGTGAAACTGATCACACAATGAACCCCTGCCGGTTCGAAAAAACAAACATTCCCGTCTCTTTATCGGCTATGCAAATATACTACCAGAGAAACGGAATCAAATCCCTGGAATATTTTCAGGACCGCCCAACGATCGTGTACAAGATGGGGCAGCCGCGGACGCGGACATCGGGACCACAAGCCACAGCGCAGATATCTCCATCAAGACAACTTTCTGCAGCACACCGGCATAACTGCCCATACTTTTACGGAAGGAATGCGCCGGGGCATTAGCATCACGGACGGAACAATTTAACATAAGAAGCGGATTCATCCGGGCACCTTGTGACGTCACCGGGGACGCTTGGCGGCTGACCGGCCTCACCGTGTGGCTTCCCCAGGGATGTTCAGCGGCCGACCGGCCTCACCGTATGACGTCACCGGGGACGTTCGGTAGCCGACCAGCCCCACCGTGTGACGTCACCGGGCTCCTCGGCGGCCGGCCGGCCTCACCTTGTGACGTCCCTAGGGGATGCCCGGCGGCCTCACCTTATGACGTCACCGAGGACGCTCGGCGGCCGGCCGGCCTCACCGTGTGACGTCACAGGGATGCTCGGCGGCCCGTCGGCCTCACCTTGACGTATTGGTTTTCCTCGACGTTGCGGCCCTTGACGCGGAGGACAGCGCCGTGCGTGTCAAAGTCGGTGTCCTCGGCCTGGATGGTGAGCGTGGTCCGCACCCGGTTGCTGGAGGATGACCCGGTGGCCGACTCGGTCTGCACCTTCCTGCACGGCAGAGGCGCGCGCACCGGGGTGACGGCAGTCCCTCGAGCGCCCAGCTCGGCACAAAGGCACGGGACATCGGCCTGCGCCGGCCCGGCACGCCCGCCCAGCGGTGCACCACGCCCACGCATGACACGCTCTTCTGGCGCGCACGCCTGACAGATCACATTGGGCGATTGAATGGGATCAGACGACACCATTCAATAAGATTGCTGAAAACTTCAAGGACTGTATGGAAAGGTAAAAAAAAAACATCCTACTGATATCCTTGAGTGCACTGTGCTTACAACCACGAAAATGCAGAGAAAAGGCGGATTATGACACGACAATATACACGGCAATATATGTCCAGAGAACATAATCAGGTGTCATTCACTACCTGAACAATTCTTGCCAACCTTGACGCGTTTCCCTAGCTCATGACTTTGACCTACTTAAATAATTTCGAACGATCCCGTACAACGGCGACTGACCAAACATGAGACGGTTTTTAAAAACACCATGTGAGGGGAGAAGGGGTGACCGGAGAGTGGAAACGTACCCCACTGGTTACCTACAGAAGTGCTAAATAACAGCAACACAAACATGATCAGGAAAAAATACATGGACCAGACATGGGGACGAAGCCAGGCTTCTGACCTTGAAGCTGCACCCGAAGCCACACAATTACATGAAGCGCAGCTGAAAGCCGAAGCCAGTGGCCTGAAGTTTTAAAAACTGCGGGGTCGAAGCCAAAGACAATTGCTTCGCATTTGTGAGATGTGAGTCCGAGGCTTCGAAATTTGCGCACGCGAAACCAAACCTGAAGAAAGCGTCTTCCAACTTAGAAACGCGGAGCCAAAGCCAAACACAACCAGTCAAAGTGACGATTGCCAAAGCCGAACCCAGTGTACAACGTATAGCTCTCCGGTGGTCATAAGTTGTTAATTGGTCCTGACAATGACCAACTGGTTTGGACTGCTAGCCATGCATGCGCCACAGCCTTAAAGAGTTGCGGCATACTTGGGTAATAGGGCGGGCAAGACTATTTTGTAAAGTAAAGCTGCCACTGCAATGAGGAAATGGCCATGACCAATCCGAACCCAGCACTTGAAGATCATGTCGAGCTGCAGCCGGACTATACTTCAAAACTTGTTAGAAGCCGAGACCAAAGCCAAGCCAGCTGTTAAGAACGCCTCGAAGTCGGGGGCCGAAACCAGTCAATCGTGGAAAACTGCATGAAGCCGAAGCCAAAGCAGAGGTAATGAAGAAGGCTGCGATTTCACGAGGCCCAACAACAAGCCTACGCCGGCGTCGCCCCCATTCCCGACAGAGACAGAGGTAGCCGGGTCAGTACCGTAGGTTGCCACTTGCATCACCGGAATCAGCCCAACAGGCGCTTGAGGGAAATGGCATGGTACCATGCCTGTCTTGTCATAAACTTCTCCATGCCTCATTAAAACTAAAGCTATCACCAATGCCGAATGGCACAAAATGTCTCCCTCCATTGTTTTGACTAAGTTTGAAATACATCACTGATGGAAGCATTGAGAACAGTCAGCCAGAGACCAAGAAAATCAGTTTAAAAGTGAGAACAACTAGATATTCATGTTCCACGAATTTGGAGCGGTCAAGTCTATTTGAAACTCATATGTAAAGTGAGACTAAAAATTAAAGGATTTGAATCCCAAGTACATAAAACGCCACCTTTAGGGTACACACAGCATTCCAATGTGATGCTCTTTGTCAAAATATGGTGGCAGCCTGCAATAAAAAAACCCACACAAGGAGTATGGTACCTGATTGTTGATGCTCTGATGGTATCCCCTGGATGAATAAGGTTGTATGCGTGCCATATGTCTTCTGCATCCTCAGGAACCAATGACACACGGCTGGAATGGAGGAACAGAAATGGTTAGTGGGTGAG